ACATAGCAAGTAAAAGATTTCGTCTAAGTTTGGCTACTCTGAGAACTAGTCAGTGGGTTACAGCTTTCAAGGTTGATGCCACAGGTTAATATATAGTTAGAATTTTCAGTGCTTTAAAACGATTTCCTTGAATTTTGAGGAATAAATCTTAACTGTTTCATGTTACTGATTTTAATCATCTCACACCATTCCATTGGAAAAGTGAGTTGATGCATGCATGTGACTTTCTGCTATAATGCATTTATGTTAAATTATTTTAAAATGCCCTGAAAACTGTTCAATAAAGATTTATTGGTTTGATATTTTGAAGTATTTTTCTATACATGAACTTAAAATAGTATCATGTTATGTTTTGAGACTTGGTTAGTGCATGAAATATGTTTTCTGCATTTATGAGCAACTTCATCTATTATTTGAATTGCAAGATAGAGTCATTTGAGCCTTAAGATTCATTAAAACCTCAAACTACAGTTCAAAGTCTAAGTACATGGCCAAGATAAATGAGAACTCTGTCCCCATTTCCAGCTAACTCTTGGAGGACTATACATGCAGTCTTGGGATGAAAGGTAGAGCTGCCCAATCCCTCAGCACATTTTAGATGTGCTCTAAATTAGCTGTGTGGGGACTATGTGTTCTAGCCAATCACGGATATGGAAAATGACTCTTCTGAGTCTTGAGAGAGATGCAGTTTTCAGCTTACCAAAGCTGCCTTTTCTTTTAAAGCCCGAGGCTAATCTACCATGCTTGGCCATGTCTATGATTAATGAATGAAAGCAAAATCTGCTTTTATAGCTTATAAAACCTGAATCTGTAATTTTTGGTACTCTTGGAAAAAAGCAGTTCTGTATTTTTAAGCTAGGGCTGCAGAAGTGACCATCTATAGTTGTGAAATATAAAAGCAATGTGTTTGATCAGAAAAGGAAATCTCTGCCTGGCACATGGAGACATTCATTGAGCACCATAACCATGTTGAAAACATAAGGCTCTGAGACTGTTGACTATAAAGAAGGTCATGAAAGCATAAGACATCCTAAGCTTCATTAGGAGGACTTGTGCTCAGAAGAAAATAAGCTTTCAACACATCAATTGTCCATAGTCAATGATAGTAACAAGTTCATTTGCATCATTTGCATCAGAACGCTGATCCTTGTAATATTGTATGATATACAAAATGACACAGTTTTCCTTAAACATAAGTTCTTCCTCCTCCAAGTCCTAGAGCAAGTCAGAACATAAATATTGTCTGTTTCACTTGAGAAACAGGTTTCCTTTGTAAAGTAGAGCTGGATTCTTTCGCAAGGCAGAAGTTAAGGCTATTTCTGGCATTCTAGCTCAAAAAGGTCAATACACGTATATAACATAAGAGTAAAAGAAGTCTCATTCACCTCTTGCCTTTGGTAGCATTGGCTACATAAAGAAGTGTTGCTTGCCCCAGATACAGGGCGAGTTCAGTCCTGCTGAGAAGTCAAAATATTAGAAATGACTAAAGTTTCATGTTCTAGATTGACCTTTCTTCTGGAAGGATCGCGACCGCTTTTCCTCCCTTTGATCAAGGAAATGTCACAAGAAAACTTCAGCTCAAACGGTGAACCAGCACCTCTTCCACGGTTCATGCTGACAACACCAGCAGACGTCATCACTCAAGGGAAGAAACATCAGTTGGGGATATAAAAACACACATGCCAAAAGCAGTGTTGTCTTTTTCCCCAGCAAACATAGAATCTTGGCATATAATCCATGATAGCAGCCTTCTTGAGGGTATTTCAAAAACTTGGTTGGGGTTTAATCACCCATTCTGCTTGAGGATTTACATGATATATATCCAGTATATAAGCATCTGGATCCAAGCAATGCTGTCCTAAAAGTAAGAGAAAAGCCAATGAATGTTTTCGAAAGTGTAAACTTCTTTTTGTGTGTGCATGTGTGTGCACATGTGTGCTCATAAGATTCTAATAAGGCCAGTGAAATTCCATCAAAAATAACACATTTTAAAGTTTCTTAGCAAAACCCTCTTCTTCCTCTCTTTTTCTTTTTTCTTAGACTGTGAAGTGCTTCAGATAAATCTCATGTGAAATTGTTGAAAATATACATACCTACCACAGGCAAATTGTTCCCTAGCTTCACATCAATTAGAAAAATACAGCAAGAATTCGTGAAGGTATAAATGGATCATTTATATGCTAATACATGCCCTCCACTGGTTTTACGATAGAAACTTGACTGGGATTAGAGAAGATCCAAATCAGGTTCATTTCAGAAAAGGTCATTTTGTTTCATTACTATGTATGTAATGTACATAGGCAGATCCAGAAATCCTAACAAAAAGGTCATTCATGGGCCAAATACATTTGAAAGTCTTTATGTACAGTGCATTCAAAATGTATACTAGTTTCAAAACTACCCAGATCTCCTTGCTTTCTTGATTGATTCTTTCAGTCAGCAAATATTTATTGAAATTATGATGTGCCAGGCCTGTTCTGGGGTTTGGGGCCACAGTGATGCACCAGTCACAGACACATGCCATCAGGGCACTTACAGTCTAAACGCAGCTAAAAGAAGCCAGCAAATAAACAAATGTAAAGTAAGCTGAAGGTGGTAAGGCCACTAAAGAAAGGCAAAGCCAGGGAGGTGAATCAGGGAGGTATAAGCCAGAAAGTCCTCACTGAAAGGTGATGTATTGGCAAAAATCCAAAAGAGACAAGGCAGGGAGAAGTGAGGATATCTATTTTCTGGGGTGTTTTTGCTTATTTGTTTTTAAGAGTGATTTTTGCCCTGACCAGAGAGAAACAGAGATAGAGAGACAGAAGACAGAAAGGGAGAAATCATCCCCCATGGGGGATGACCATGCCACAATCCCTTCTCCTCCATTCTCCTCTCAGGATTTTGGGCACTCATGCACACGTGCCTGGCTTGAGTTTGAAGACTCAAGTCCCAGGTCGGGGACTTGAACCACAGTCAGCCATGTGGGAGTCCAGTGAAGTAACCGTTACACCATTTGCTGGTCCCAGAAGTGAGGAAATCTAAAGAGAAAACATTCTAGGAGAAAGAACAAATGCAAAACTCTCAAGTCAAAATGTGCCTGGAGAACTGGATACACAAGTTTGGTGTTTGAGAAGTGTGGGTGCAAATTCGAAAGGCATCAGCATACAGGTGAATGTAAAGCAAAGAGATGGACTGAGCTCACCAAGGAAGCTAAGAGTAAACAGAGGTGCGTTCCGAGGACAAACCCCTACAGCTCTCTGGTGCTGAGAGGTCAGGATGTGGGAAGTAACTGGGTAAAGAACTCAGATGGAACATCCAGTGAAGTGGAAGGAAAGTCAGCTTAGGCTGTCCTTGAAATCAGGTGAAGAATGTGTTTTACGAAGGAGGAGATGGTCAACTCGGGCAATGAAAAGACAAAGTGATTGGGCTTTACAATTTAAGAGTTCTCTGGTGACCTTGACAAGAGAGTGATTCTGTGAAGTGCTGAGGGGTACAGCTTGACTGGAGTAGTCTCAAGAGAGAATAGGGAAAAAGAAATAGAAATATAAACAACTGGTTCGGGGAGCTTTTGCTATAAAGCAGAACAGAGAATTGCGAGTAGACTTGAAGGGAGATAACAGAGAGTTCTGCATACTGAAATTTCCAGAATGTTTTACAAAGATGGAAATGATGCAGTTGGGAAGGAAAAACTGATGACATAGCAGAGAGTCCAGGTACGAATGGTGCAAGGCCCTGATTGGGAAGGAGGGGATATATGTGAGTGAGGCACAGGTGGATGCTCTGGTCTCACACAGGAGCACAGACCAGGGCTGTGAGGCTATACTTGGGCACAAGGAGAAAAACATTTCTTTTGATACCCACTCCCACCACCGACCCCTCCCCCCAAGGAAGGAAATGAAGACTGAAGTTGAAATGTGAGTGAAAGTAAGAAAGTTCAATAACAGAGGTGTCGTGCTTCGAAAATTTTCAGTTTTCTTCTTTGCTTTACATGAGTCTATTGAATGAGACTTTTTGATTTTAGGTCAGTTGTAGTGGCACAGTGGTAACACAACACTCTTCAAAGCGGAAGGCCACATTGATACGTCCTAGGTTAGTGTTCTGAGGTTGCTTGTATATGCCTGCATGCTTACCTGTTCTCCCGGATGGCTGAGGCTCAGGGAGGATTATGGCACAGGGACCACATTCTCTCTCTCTCTCTCTCTCTCTCTCTTTCTCATAGAAGAAATAAATAAATCTTTTTAAAAATTCACATTTAAAAGACCCAAATATATGCTCCATATTTCACAAAGATATTCTTTCTTAAATTTGGAAAATATTTTCAAAAAGTCATTCAATTCTTAAAAAAACATTTGCTATAGGGCACGTATGCTCACTAGAGAGAGACACACACATGCAGAGGGAAGGAAAGTGAGAAAGCACCCCCTGGAGAGGATTCCCACACCACAGCCCCTTCTCCTCCATTCTTCTCTTGGGATTCTGGGCATGCACACACATGTGCCTGGTGTGTTTTTCAAGCTCCTGGGTCCAGGATTCAAACCATGTACTCGACCATGAGGGATCCAGCTGCATTAACCACCATGCAACCTGACTGGCCCAAGTCATGCAATGTTCTCATATGAAATTAAAAATATTAAAAATTTACTGACTTTAAAATTTTATCTCAGAAACATGTAAAATCCACCTTTAGAGCAATAGCAACATCTTTCTTTTAGAATAATCAGAGAATTTGGGAGTAGAAAGTATTAAAGAATGCTTACCTATATTTCCTCCAATTTCATATAACCTTTGGTTTTGAATTTTAATACATTCTGATGACCCATGACTAAAAGAAAAAAGAAAAGAAAGAGAAAGCAATGTGATTTTAACCCTTTTTCATGATCATATTAAACAACATGGCAATAAATGATTCATTTTGCCTTGATGAAATATCTATCACAAAACCTTATTACAGCTGAAGTTATAATAAAAACAATGGTTGTTTCTTTCTTTTTTATTTTTCTTTTTCCTGTTTGACCTAGACAAAAGGCTGAGATCCAGAGAAGACGGTACTATTCCAGACCAAGATGGGATGCTACAGGCTCGACAGCCCCATAGAGCCCTTTCCATGCACAACTGTCAGTCCCATATTAGGGAGGTAACTGCTACTGACATATTGAGGCTGGCTGAGTAGCAGCTAGAGGTTTAATACTCTCATGTCATTGGCCATATTCCTCACAGTTCTAAAGAAGTCAGGTTGCATTTGTTTGCCAAAAATTAAATGGAGTTCTCTGTTTAGCCCATGTCAGATTTCTTAGCTTGCCTAGAGCTTTGCAAATTGTCTAAGGCTGACGTCCTTGCAAATCTCTGCCTACAATATAAGTAAGTCAGAGAAACAATTGCCTGATTTAATTTTTCCATGCCAGACTAGAATGCTAGGGTAGAAGACAATCTCTTCTCCTCCATTCTCCTCTTGGGATTTTGGGCATGCACACACACACACCCAATGTGAGTTTAAGCCACCAAGTCTGGGACTCAAACCATGGTCGACTACATGGGAGTCCGGCGACATAGCCATTATGCCAACTGCTGGTCCCCATCTTTCCTGAGATTTTCTTTTAGCTATTCTAGAGATGTCTTTCCATATAATGTTTTTAGAAAAAGCTCGTGCATATTTACAAAATATCCTGCTGGGATTTTATAGTAATTGCATCAGTTCTATAGATCAACTTGGAGACAATCGACACTGTCTTCTAGTTCATGAAAATGGTACATCTCTCCATTTCCTTAAGTCTCCTTTGATGTCTTTCATCAGTATTTTATAATTTTTAGCACACATATCCTGTACCTGTTTACTTAAGTTTATACTTAAGTATTTCTTTTGGAGTTAGCATGAATAGTATTGCTTTTACTTTTGATTTTAAATTAGGTTTCCACATGTTCTACTGTGATTGATACTGTATTCTGTGAACTACTGAACTAACTTATTAGTTCGAAGGGGTCTTTTTCTTCTTCAATTTAATGGAATTTTGAAGATAGACAGTAGTCTCTGCAACTAGAGATAGTTTTAATTTTTCTTTGTAGTTTGTATGCCTTTTATTTCTTTTTCTTATTTTATTGCAGTGGCTTAATTTTCCAGTAGCATGTTGAATGTGATGAAAGTAGATATCCTTGTTTTTGGCCTGAGGGAAAGAATTAAATATCTCATCATAAAGTATAATTTTAGCTATAAATTTTTATAGATGATGTTTATCAAGTTAAGGAAGTTCCCTTTATTTATTTATTTTTTATTTAAGAGAGATTTTTGCTATAGACTACATGCATTCCCTGAAGACAGAAAGTGAGAAATCACTCCCCAAGAAAATGGCCATGTTGTAATCTCTTCACCTTCATTTTCCTTTTGGGATTTTGGGGCATGCATGTACACGTGCCTGACATGAGTTTTAAGCTGCCGGTCTGGGACTTAGACTGTGGTTGAATTAATGGAAGTCCAGCAAAGTAACCATTATTCCATCTACTGGTCCCAAGGAAGTTCCCTTCTAATATGCTGAGAGTATTTTTTTTTTTATCATGAATTGGTGCTGAATTTTGTCAGATTTTTTTCCTGCATCAATTGATACTGATCATGTGATTTTTCTCCTGTTAATATGGTCAATTAAATTGATTGACTTTTAAATGTTAATGTTGAATCAACTTATATAACTGAACTAGGTCCACTTGGTCATGAGATACATGCATATATATATATAATTTTTTTTAAGGATATTTTGCCATAGGGCCCATGTGCTTGCCAGAGAGAGAGAAAGTGAGAAACCACAGCCCCCTCCTGGGTGGATGGCCATGCCACAATCACCTCTTCATTCTATTCTCAGGGTTTGGGGCATGCACACAGGCACACTGAGTGTGTTTTCCAAGCCAACTAGTCCAGAACTCAAACTGGGAGTTGGCCATGTGGAATCCAGAGGCTTAAGCACTACTCTATCTGTGGGCCTTATAGTATATAATTCTTTTAATGCATGCCGGAATAGATTTGCTATTTTGTTGAGCATTTTCATATCTAAATTTATGATAGATATATGCAGAGATTTTTTTTTGGTTTTTCGTTAAGATATGATCTGGTGTGATCCCCTAGGTCAGCCTTCCAGCTGCATATGCCACTTACATCAGTCTCTTTTTGACTCAGGATTTAACTATGTTGTCCAGGCCAGCCTAGAGCTCATAAATCTTTTGCCTCAGCCTCTCTGAGTTTCTGGGATTATAAGCATTTATCACTGGTCTTTAGGTTGGTTCATGAATTTAACCCAGTCCTCTAATGTCACTCCAGCTTGTGGAGCAGCTTAGTATATATGCTTTAGTATATGCTATCATTTCTGGGTTTCTTTTTCTTCTTCTTTTTTTTTTTTTCTTTTTTAATACTCTTTGGTTTTGTTTTCAGGGTAATTCTACTGCTTTTTAAAATAGGTTGGGAAGTATTTCTTCCTCTCCTGTGTTTTGGAAAAGATTGTATTTAAATGTTTGCTGGAATTCTTCAGTGAAACCATCTGGGTTTGAGATTTCTTTTTTGGAAACTAAAATTACAGATTCAATTTGTTTAACAGCTATAAGTAATCAATTTCATCTTGTGTTTTGGTAATTTGTGGTTTTTGAGGGATTAGTCCATGTCTTCTACGTTTTTAAATTTATAAGCATAAAGTTGTTCACATATTTACTATCCTTTTAACAGAAACATTATGTTAGTGATGTCCCATTTTATTATTGATATTGTTGATTCATATATTTTCTCTTTTTATCTCATTAGTTCTTCAAGAAGTTTATCAATTTTTTTTTTTTTTTTGGAACCAGCTTTGGGGCCAGCAGATGGTGTAATGGTTACAGTGCTGGACTCCCATGTGGATGACCACGGTTCAAGTTCTGAATCTGGTGGCTTGAAACTCATACCAGGCTCGTGCACATGTGTCCTAAAATCCTGAGAGAAGAATGGAGGAGAAGGAAGGGACTGTGGCATGGCCACCCCCTTGAGGGATGATTTCTCACTTTGTCTCTTTGTCTCTCTGGCGAGCACACATGCTCTACAGCAAAAATCTCTCTTAAAAAAAAAAAAGACAACAAAACGACAGCAACCACAACAAAAAACACATCAGCTTTTTACTTCATGCATCATTTCTATCATTTTTCTGTCTTAAATTTCATTGATTTCTGCTTATTTGTATTAATTCCTTCCTTCTGCTTCCTTTGGATTTAGTTTGCCCTTATTTTCCTAGTTTTTAAAGATAAGAACTTGGATTATTTATTTAAGATCTTACTCTCTTTTCTAAATAAGCCTGTACTAGTAAAAATCTTTCTTTCAGTACTGCTTTAGCTGCGTTGCACATAATTAGATATGTTAGTTTTATTTTTACTCTTTGTGCTCTTAAAATGTTTTCTTTAAGATTTTTCTCTTTGATCCATGGATTATTTAGAAGTGTGTGATTTAGTTTTAAAGTATTTGGCGATTTTCATTTGTCTCCCAGTTACTCATATCCAGTTTGATTCTTTTAAAGTCAGAGAAGATACTTTGACTATATTTTTAATAATTGAAATTTGTTTAGCATTGTTTTATGGCCCAGGATATGGTCTATCTTTTAGGATTCTATCATGTTTTATGTATGACTTTTTGAGTATATTTCTTAGCTTTCTTTTGAGGTTTCCTTGGATATTACACTATACATATGTAATTTATTGTAGTCTACATTTTACTACTTTGTAGTCTACATTTTACACATGCCTTGTGTGTTTTTTAAGCAGCTCAGGCTGGGATTTGAACTGAGGTTGGCTGTGTGGTATGTAGCTCCCTTAACCATAGGTCACAGAGCTGGCCATGCTTTTAATCTTTCAAAAACCTCTAGGCAAACATTTATCCTTGAGAAGGCATGTCTAGGCATGTTTAAATGGCAGGTAAATATCGTTCCGATTCTAAAGATTAGTAGTATGTTTATTAAAAAGCAATAGGTATGATTCTCATTTAACTATATAAACTATCAGCTAGAGGCATGTTATAGCCCAAGGGAGCCTAAAATAAGATATCCCTGGAGATATATTAAAATTTCTACAAAACCAGCTTGCTACATATTTTCTATTTTAATAAAAGGTAAAACTTGTGGAGTAAATGAAGATACAAAGACAGATAATACCTACTGTGAATCTCATTTGTAGAAAGTCTTTCGGAAATAACCTTTGTTCCTGTCAATTCTATTTCTGTTATGTAATTCCTCTGCTTTTTGCTCTTGTAATCTACTGGGAAAGTTCCCAAAGTAATTTTTCAAAAGGCCAAATCTGTAAATGCCTTAAGATGTACTCATCTGGCATCTGATCAAAGTTCCTCTTCCTTGTGCAGAGACCTTCATTCACGTTTACTCACCTGTTCTCGTATTGAAATTTTGCCAGTATGTCTTTGGCTTTGGTCTGGCTGTTAAGCTGAATGGCCATGGACACCTTAGAGAGAAGTGGAGCGTGGACTCTTATGACTCCTTCTGGCACATCAGACTGCCAATGAGGAAAAGTTCAGTACATTTTGTCAAACTAGATGAATATCGGTTCAATATTACACTTAAAAGATACGAAATCAGTGGCATTTTTAATTAGAAAAACATGTAAACATGACCAATATTTACAGAATGAAACACTGCTTTCTTTTTTACTTGGAAACCCACTGGTGACTAGATTTAACCTGAGATTTACTCTAGCTGCATGCGAAGGCATTAGTATAATGCCTTAAAGTCATGAGAGAGTAAAACTGGCTTATAATAAGACTTACTGTTTGTGACCAGCAGTTAGCGTAATGGCTGTGTTGCTGGACTCCCATGTAGTCGACCGCGGTTTGAGTCCTGGACCTGGTGGCTTAAACTCACGCCGGGCGTGTGGGTATGCATGCCCAAGATCCTGAGAGGAGAATGGAGGAGAAGGGATTGTGGCGTGGCCATCCCCCCTGAGGGGAGATTTCTCGCTTTCTAGCTCTCTGTTTCTCTCTGTCTTTCTGGTGAGTTCACATGCCCTATAGCAAAAACTTCTCCAAAAAAAAAAAAAAGAAAAGAAAGACTCAGTGTTTCTCCCAATGTATTCATTGATCAATGTCTTAAGTCTCCTTTAAGCAGGATTCCGTACTTTAGGATATTTTGAGAA